ATTGTTTCATCGACTACAGAAACCTCTACATTCATTACAGAAGTGTTATTGACTGCCTGCGATTCATTGTCGATAGGGTTCTGTTGATCTATTAAAGACGGAGGAGACTGTGATAATGACTGTGTTCCTTTGTTGGGGTTGAAATATTCTGCATCTTCATTTGGTTTATTGGTAAGTGTAAGTGACAAACCCGTGCTTAACGGCCCCCATGACGAAGAGGTCGGCTGTTCGTTCGCCGGTTGCCATCCGGCAGTTCTAGAGATTGTCTCTGCAAAATGCGAATTGGATCCAGTAACTGGAGATGTCACCGTCCCTGATACAAAACTCTGTTGTTGACGGAAGAAATTATCAGCATACAAAGGTGGATTATGTAGTGGGGTCTGGTGTGATTGTTGAGATTGAGACTGCTGTACCACTTGTGGAGTTGGCTGTGGTGGCTGTAATGGTGGTTGCGGCTGTTGCTGTGTCGGCTGCTGTTGCAATTGTCTTTGTTGTTGTTGTTGTTGCTGTTGTTGCTGTTGTTGCTGTTGTTGCTGTTGTTGTTGTTGTTGTTGCAATAATGAAAGATACTGTTGTCGATCCAGTTGGGAATTAAAAGTACGCTGATCAAGGAAGTTAGGTGTCGGCGATGCACCAAAACTGTTTGTATTGCTGAAGAGAGCAGAATTGTTTGAATGTAACCTCGGAGACAAGTTCCCCGCGCTACTGTTAAAAACCTCTGGAACCCAGCCAGCGTTCGTCGTATTCAAATCTCCCCACCCACTAGAAACTTCGTTTATTCCGCTCCCAAATGCGCCATTAAACTGATACCTATCAAAAGGTGTATTTGGGACTGAGGCGGTCCCGCCAAAGGGATTAAATCTCTGTTGATGGTCCATAAAGACGTGAGCAGTACCAGGTGAACTTGGAACGTTTCCCCAGTTTCTTGGGAAAGGCCCAGTCAACATTCTTCCTGCATTGTTAGGCATGTTTATAGTCAAAGGAGGACGTGCACTTGCTGAAAAAGGTTTATCCTCGTTTCCTGTTTTACGTATTAATACGCCCAACGGTTCGAACGTCGGATCTTCTACTCTCTTTACTAATAGGCCTAGCGTAAAAAATCCCTGCTTGTACCACTCGTTCATGTCCTGGCTCGTAAATGGTCCTGAAAAATGTTCGAAAGTTTATTATATGGGAATAAATGATTATTAATACAACGGATCCACTTAACTATGAGTGAAAATACCTTGAATTTTATTACTAGGATCACGGTACAACCATCGTTGTTGTTGGCCAGATATCGGTTTGCGATCATTCAGAAACAAACTTGACGAAGCTTCTTCGGCGAAGGCAGAACTCGCAGCAATCAGGGGTTGAGTAGCAGAATATTTTTTAGCCATTCCTGGAGACAAGGGCGGTGATGTTGTAGACATCCCGGGATAAAACACTTCTTTCAGAACTTCATCGTCCTGATCAGGCTCAAAACTAGTGGCTGCCAAAGAATGTGAGGACATCAGTAGTTGTTGTTGCTGTTGATGTTGATGTCGAAACTGTTCCTGCAAAAACATCTGTTGGTGCTGCTGTTGAAGCATCACGTTCGGCGGCTGTTGTTGAACCTGAAACGGGGGTGAACGTATCTGGGTTGGAGATGGAAGTCCTTGCTGTGGTATTTTCTGCTGCAATGGCGGCTGCGGCTGCGGCTGCGGCTGCTGCTGCTGCTGCTGTTGTTGTTGTTGTTGTTGTTGATGTTGATGTTGCTGTTGTTGTTGTTGATGTTGATGTTGTTGATGTTGTTGCTGTTGTTGCTGTTGTTGCTGTTGTTGTAGCTGACTAGAATCAAGCTGTAATTTCGTCTTGTTCTGAGTCTGCGTTTTAGATTGACTTTCTTGTGAGTTTACATGATATCGCACTGAAGATTCAATTGACTTCTGGGCGATACCGTCAAGCGAATGTTCTATTGGGGGTTCCTGTTGAGGAACTTCCTGTCGCAGCTCATTACTCTTTCCTGTTATTGTTGGTATTGTCGATGCCTGCGATTCTTCCTCAACGATAGATTTACCTATACCATATGCTTTTGATCCATTATGTATGTCTTCTAGAGGTGAACTCATGCTTCTTTCTCTTGATATCTTATTGCTGGCAACAGATGTCGAATCCGCTATCTTATCATTATCTAAGTGCTGTTGAGTAGTCGTACGTCATGTTTAGCAATTATATTTAATTTGATAGTCCACCACTATACATGCTTACCTCGTCGTTGCTCTTTTCCAATAGTTCGTTCTCTTTTCCGTCTTTGTCTGAAATTTCAATTTCTCCACCGCCGCTAGGAATTCGAAACACTCCATTGCTATCAAACGTACCAACCGCACTACGACTTACACCGTGCCAAATTGGGTCTTCCGCAGATTGTGTTGTACTGGCAGGTGTACTGCCCAGTCTTAGTGTACGGCCACCGCGAATGTCTAACAAGAGTCCATTATTCAGATTCTCATTGTGCGAGTATTTCCAGATAGCATAAGTTCGCCTACCTCTTTCATCATCTTTTTCACTATCTCGCCGTATGTTTGGTGACGAAAAACTTCCTTCACGCCCTAATAAATTCCATCAACCGCATACAGACTGAGCAAACATATCGATAATAACCGCAATGTTTATTATAATGAATATTATGAACCATAACATGTGACACGAACCACTTCTTGGTCTGTTGCTTAATACACCCCCAATTATGCCACCAAATCGTTCACTTCTTGGGGATGTTAAGCCACTAATTCTGTCCTTAGAGAAAGACCCTCGCTCAGAACGTTCTCCCCCGGTTGTCACATTCCCTGACGCATTAGAAACGATACGACGGACAACCTCACTGTTAACTGAAGTACCAGATAATAGCTGAACGTGAAGTAAATGGAAATGGGGAAAACATTAGAATAGCTATGTATTTGATCTGATCACTTTGTTGCGTCTATTATCAGATTCGGTATTAGTTTCCTAATTATCACGTATAGAAAACCGTTTCAGGCGTCATTGTATAAATTTAAACACTGTATTCAGGCATACTCGTTTCATAGCATCTATCTATAATTGGAGGAAGAAACTGTGCTTTGTAGAATGAACCAAGCAAAATTACATCATAGACGAGCATTTCGATATGTTTCGGTCTGCACATACTATGCCAGACAATCTGCTGTTCGGAAAACCAATCTCGCTCGGATATCGTGCTATTTAGATATACCTTTTGTTCCTGTTCTGTTGGTGTCAATAAAGCCATAGGCGGTAATGGTTCTTCGCTTGTAACATATTCATGCCTTTCAAATTCCAGTGGTAATCCAACAGGTTTGTACAGTTTAAGCATGAAATCCTTGGAATATTTAAATGGATTGAGAGCCGACTCGCTTCCGCCTGGTGTATCAGACTTCTCATAGGTATCGTTAGGAGAACGATTGGACACTGTGCTGTTATTAGCAGCAGCCACCGAAGACCAAGAAAACGTGTTTGCAGTTGCCCCATTGCCGTTATTGACGACAATGTGATTGGAGTTGATTGTACCTGAGGAAGACGCGGCTTGTACATTGTTGCCAACTGAGGATGGACCTTGTGTTGGTGAGGTAGAACGAGTTGTTTCGCTTGTTGGGCTTTTTGGGAAGCGTCTCATCCTAGGAAACCGATCGTTATTGTTAGAATGTCGAATTAAAAAAGCATATGGGATAAGATTGCAAGGAAAAGTGTGCAGTTTATGAAAGTATTGCCGAAAAAGGAAGTCGAAGTTCTTTTTCGCGGGAAGTAAGGTACATACCATTCGGGACCGAAGTTCATAGTATTGCTGGCAGCCATTGTTATAGTATGTTTCTGTCAACTAGATAGTTAATAAGGTGTTGGTTAGTGGGTTACTTTTGGGTTGTATATATTGTTGTGTAGGTGGACAAAGCACGGTTAGAGTCGAGTTAACGGTCAAAAAAAGCTCTCTCGCTCAGATTTTATTTTCTTCGTTATTGTAAATGATTGGTTGTTCCATGGAATTCATAAAAGTATAAAGTCTGTTAATGATCATGTGGCTACAACGTGAATGACGTATAAAAAATGAATTTTACCAATGTAATTGGCAGGATTAACATCCAATTAATCGGAATTTCATGAGGGAGTTGAAACGAAATGTCAGAATTTAGTCATCTGACTAACTAAGTTTCATAAATTAGTTTGTTAAAAGACCCTAATCATGTAACAGCGATGTTAAATAAGAACGTTGCGGCTGAGGATTATTGACAATTCAGAGAATGTCAATAGCATGAAGGGTCATCAACTTACTAAATTTGTCTTTGTCAGTAACATATAAAAGTTATAACTTCAAATGGATTATACTTACTACGATAATAGTAAAGGAACAATTTCAATATTAATTAAGATTAACGTATCAGTTGGTCGTATCACCCTATCACGATCAATCAATAAACCAATTGTCGTCTTTGCATGACAGGAATAATAAACGTAGATAATCTCGAAATTAATAATATCTTATTGTGAGAGGAAAACCCCCCCACCGAATATGGCGTATTGCAAAATGTCGCCATTTCTCCAAATACTAAATCATACAATTAATCAAAGCAAATTTCGTCGGTCATGCGTGTATATGTTGCGACCCATTGACCCGTTTCGGGATTGTCACATTAGAATAATCTCTTGCACTAATAAAGTACACAAGTTATGTGATAACGTCGCAAAAATTTGTAAACAATCTTGAAACGGGTATATTGCAATTGTTTGAATTATTGTTATGTAAATTTGGTAAATGCTTATATTATTTGGGATGTGTTCACAAATTTACAACTTTAAATTGTGACTAACATTAAAGTTGGCTGAAATAAATATGAAGTCATAACATAATTAATATTGAATTATGCCTATATAAAAATACGAATTATAATGAATAAATTAAATTCAACAAAAAATCCAAAAATCACAGCACTGTTGAAAACTTTGTATGTGTTTAAAATTAATAGTACCCAACTCTCCGGAAATATTTAGATAAAGAACAAAATACCTACGAAATTTACCAAACCGAACGAAATTAAATGGCAACTTAAATGAGCCAAGAAAGAAGCAAGTAAGCAATTTTATGTAAAAGTTTCATCAAAGCCTCCGCTGTTCGAACGACTAAACAACGAAAAATTTCTCCTTACAGTTTTGATTTGTCGTTGATAAAAGACCACTCGAGCATTGGCTACTTTTACTGTGTTGCAACCCAAAGTTGCTGCAACTTTTTTAAGCACAGTTTCTATTACCAAAGCACAAAAATATTAAAGTAATTGCATGAGAGAAATTTGTAAGTAACTTTTTTTCTTATCTGAAGAGTTTGGGTACCATTAATATCAAACACATCTGGAATAATTTTTTATCTTTGTTCTTCTTTCAATGCTCCCAGTAGTGCTGTAATTCTTGGGTTCCATGGTTGATTAATGCAATTAATCTCATATATAGACATAGTCCTACATTTAATTAATTATGTTGGTCACATTCTGGCATAATATTAAATTTACATAAATTTGAGTATGTTGTTCTAATTTCCTTACTCATGTCACATAGTCGAACGTTTGCTCTTATATCAGCCAGAAATAATTTGAGATAGCATCCAAAGAAATAATGAATTTGTGACGTCATGTACAGTAAACTTCCTCTAATGCAACCTCTCTAAATATAAATGCACGGATGTTTTCAGTCCCATAATGGAACTTAAGAGAAATGCACGTGCAATGCGAACTTTCTTCTCTCTAAATGCAATATCATGTGATCATTGATCTACAAAAAAAGTCACGTAACAAAGTCTGTGATCACATTAAGGGTTGATTATGTACACTATGCCCTAGAATTTCAATAAATATTAATATGTTAATGTCAATGCAATAAAAGTAAAACGTTCAGGTATCTCATAGAAAAGAAAGACTTTTGTATTAATACATGGATTTAATAATTGCGAATTTACTTAAGTGAAGCGCCAAATGACTTGACTGTCTAGAAACGCTTGCACTATATCTTGTACAGCAAGATATTGATGATGCCATCAGATTAGAACAACGAATTGTAAAACGGCTTGAGGATGCTTCTCAAAAGCAAACAAATATTACGAGCTTTCTACAATAAAAGTATATATGATAATTTTATTGAATAATTCGAATAAACATCTTTCCTCTATTCATTCTTATTGAAATTTGTTAAATTAATGACGGTTATAGTAAATAGTATATTATGCAATGAGATCACGTGAAAATAATTGGTGTTCCCTAAATGCACGCTTTCCATAAATGCAAGCATATTGTCTGTCCGACGACATTCACTTAGAGGGAGTTCACTGTATGTAACATGCGTTAAGGTAAATTGCCTTTTATATAGAACAAATGCTTAACAGCCGGTCATTACGAGAAACACGAAACGTCGTACACATTTATTTACCTATTATTACTATAACATTGGGAAAACCATTCATAATTTAGTTTTTTATATTCTGATCATTATCAAGAGAAGTATCAAGAGAAAGAGCAGTATTTTGTTAATTAGAAGGTATCTTTTTGAATTGCCGCAGAGGGTGATACAAGTTGGCCAAAACTGAATACAAGTGTGTAACTGACGTCACCTGACGAAAATCACGCATAACATGTACTGAAATAGAAGCACATAACTTTTTCGCCGGAACCGAATTGTTAAAAGTGCATACTTGTACCAACGCAGAGTTTGCCGCCGTTGAGAGTCGTATTCCAAGATCATGCCGATAGATTTTCTATTGGAGTTAATGTTGTCTAAACTTGCCAAGTCATCCGCTGTCTTGTAGGAAGGTCTGGGAAGGTCTGGTTCTCTGGAAATTCATTGAATTGCAAAAGTTCAATATAATAATAAAGAGATCACGCTTTTCTTCAAAAGCAAAATAGATGTCTTTTTATTCTATTTGCGGCAACACACATTCTAAGCAAAAGTTTCGACTTGAAAGTCGTGTTTTCTTTTCCACAATAAAGTCTGTCGCGTTTGCGTTTCTCCTCCAGACCTATTTCGACTAATCTAGTTGCCATTGTTTGAGAAGAAATGGTTGAATTTTATCTTAAATATTGACCGAGTTGACGTTGGACGCTCCAGAATTGCCTAGAGGCACGAAAATACTTGGAATAAATTGACATCGTCAGACTATTTGTCAATAAAAATGATTCACTGGAGTAGGGGGATTTTGTCTTCAACAATATGTAACATCTTGATTTATTGAAACTAGTGGAAGAGTATTTCTGGACAAATTTTGAAATCAATCATCGTAAATATAAATGAAAAGTCTCTTCGTTCATTATCAAGCACTACATGAATAATATTAATTATTTTTACTACGCAAAGTGCGCTCCAAAGCGAATCTAACACGAATAAAGTCAAACATATCAGAATTAATGCATCAAAATTGTTATAAATTAGCCTCTAAGATTTAGAATGACATTAGACGAGTATAAATACCGTAAAACTCTCGTGAATAACAGTTCTCATCTGAAAAAAAGCCTATCATGAGAATAAGAATCGAAATATATAACCAACAAAGATATTTGTCCCGTGTATTGTTCTAAGATAACCTCATGAATAAGAACCTCCTTACATGACGAAGGACACTTATTGCAGTTTAACCATACAAAAGTTTATGTTCGTGAAAGTTTATTCACGTGATCGAACACCATTCTGGTACAGCTGTACATTTAATGTTGATATAAATAGTCCGTGATAAATAATTTTGTGTTTTAGATATTAACTAAAACCATCCGTATCATCGCCAACCCACACTTCATGTAAACGGCTAGCATAATTAGAGAATGTGCTTCTATGTGTTCCTATGAATCTCCCTCCCTTAGCAACCACCATTAAATCTATTAACGGAACAAAAAATTCTTGCAAATTAACATGATCGATTGGATTAACAATTTGTTTGACCTCATCAAGATATGAGTTAAAGTCCGATAACATAAAGACACACGGAAACGCTGAAAGTATTCCTGCAAGGTCTTCTTCGGCTTGAGCAGAATCAGTGGCCAAGTAAAGGACCGGATAGTTGCTGTTTTGTGAAGAACATGATGACAGGCTGCCGCTTTCTTTAAATCCTCGCTCTTTAGACACCGTCTGAACAGAGTCAGATATCTCGGCTGATGATGACGCCGGCCCATACTCACGCAACAGTTTGTCAGTCATAGTCGCAACGGTATTGGCCAATTGTTTCTTAAAAAATCCGTCACCGACTCTAATATGAACACCAACATAACTACCCTGACCTCCCAACTCTTCTACTATCTTATCCACAACCTTGGTCAACACTGGATGCGATATAACCATGTTTCGTCGTATAAAGTCAAGGATTTCACGGTTCTCGGGCATTTCAGCTACAATTCGAGATGAACTAAATAGACTAGAAAAGTGCAAAAGCTTCTCCTGGCGCTTCCTTATACTGTTTAATGAGACTCGATCTTTGAATTTGTCTGAGCGTATACTGCTATTAGGATTGTCGTAAATCTGAAAACTGTAGAGGACTTGGTCTTCGAGCACGTAGACATCTTCCTCAGTGAAATTCAGCGTTTTATAAAGATTTGATATGTTAAAGTCGTATCTGTTGATGATACGTACTTTATCCCTTGCTGCACTCAAGTCCATTAATTCGTCCCATTGTAAGAAAGTAAAAAATAATTTCCTGTAGGTCTTCAAACAAGATGCAAGATGTGCGCCTACTAAATCAGAACAGTCTGGTAATGCCTGCTTTTGCTTTGGATTGAGTGAAGCCAAAAGTTTGAATAGACGGGGAAAGGGCTGATACGGTATCCTGCTACCTAGTACAATCGGTGGCATTATAAGAGTTCTGTTTGTTGCCCAGGCGAGGAACAAAGCATTTTCAAGTGCTATGCGTTGGTTATGGAAACCACTGTGAGGTAGATAAGTGAGGTAACGCACTTCGTCCTCATTCTCTTCGTATTCCTCAAAGAATTCGTCGTCAACAAACTCGCTATTATTTTCGTTAGGCTGAATCAGGGACTGGCTTAAATACGATGTAGTTACTAAGTACAGAGCGAATGCCGACAGGAAGAGTATTATCCAGGTTGTTCGTCGTATTGATGGCGACATAGGAGTGTTCAACTACTCGAAGCGATAGGTGTTGTCGTGCGAAACTCGTACATTCTTTATGATATCTATCCTGTAGCACAAGGGGCGCGGCATTTGATAGTATTGTCTAATGTAATACGTTTGTCCTAACAAGGCGATACTATTTTTAAATACTTGATTGTGTAAAACGAGACGATAAAGGATGCATTTTCATTTATCCGATTAATAAAAACAATATTCATACCCAATGAAAACGCTGCATTTCAGAATTCAGAGAAGGTAACCAGAGCTATCAGCACAATTACGTAAGTAACGTATACTAAGTAAGAGACTTTGTACAGTATTCTAGCTAGTTGGTGCTAGCCTTTTTACAATTAAATTCAGCCCGATTTCAGATCGGGTTTAGCATGCTTGCGGTTTTTTATTTACCACTGTTACACCCTTTTTCCTTTACTATAATTATAATTATGGTTTGATAAAAAAAAAAGTGAATTGAACCAACAAGAATTTTTCATGACGGACAGTCCCTGGAAAAAGGAACGAATATTCTTGGACTTCCTTTTCTGGTTAATTTATTGGACAATTGTTGGTGTTGCGGTTTACAAACTTCTAATTGTAGTATTGCACAACAATGCTATTGGAAGTAATGGCCTTTATCAACTTGACTAAGGTTTGAATTATGTCTTAATGGGTAACTATAACAAAGTGAACATGCTCAACTGCTCGCCTTTTCGAGCTTATTATAGCTATTAAACACAATAATAATAGAAAGAAAGAAAGAAAAGGTATTCTTTCACAATTTTTGGACGAAATTCACTCGAAGCTTCTCGAATGGTTAAACTCGACAGCAAATAATCTAGTTAGTATTAACGTTATTTATTACTATTATTATGAATAGAATTAGGGCGGGTTTACGATAGTGTCGTATTGCGCCGGCAATACCGCCCCGATTGCCTATCATTGCTCGCGTATAATGCACCCAAAAATAAAAAGCAAATGCGTCTGGAATGTTTCCTGCTGCAAAGATATAACCTTCGGAATAGAAAGCGACTAGGCTTATAATCGCGTAAAAAGGTTTCGCTTATTCGGTAAGTTATCTGTACTAATTATAGAGAATATCTATAATTATGATATAAAAATTCCCCAATTCTCATGTTCGGAACGTTCTAGCTCCATGGCTCTAATAATAGAACATACTTTTGCAGCATACGTATTAATACCGATAATCAAAAAACCGGTCACAAAATTTAAGACACGATGATTATTCAACGATTTCTAAATCAAGCCAATACATTAAACTTATATTCGTGATGTTGCAGCAAAATTGGTATTAGTGGATTTGAACGTATAAATAAGAACGCAGAGCCGAATTCCAAAAGACCTGTTTTGAACTTAATAGATAGCACGCCTTAAGGGAATACTCGCATAAGAAATAGGAATAATCAACTTTGACGCAGAGATTCCCCCCCCCCCCAAACAATGTACACTACAAGATCTGATGTCCATATCACTCGATGGAGTAGTATAGTTGAATTATATATTTATTTGTTTGTTTATTGTTTATTTATTTATTCTTTCTTGCGAACTCGTAGACTTGTAAACCTTATAATCGACTAATATTCACACCAACTAAAAATCTTCATCCTTCCATTCCAAAATTTTGTGTCCATTCATCATATTTTTCTAAATCCTCCTTATTAACTGTTGGCCTAATATTATGTAAAGCCAACGTGAAATCATCCCTGGTGACGTGAGGTTCTATTAAATCGTTCGGATCAATTTCATCCAGATCCATTCTCTACAAAACAACAATATTAGCGTCTGTCAACACAGCGTGGAAAATCATATCCTAATAATATACCTGTGCCTCTGGATCCCCAATTGAGCATGGCTCCCAATACTCTTTCATTACATCCTTGTTATCTCTGGATGGAGCCTTGACCTAGAAAACAGATGCATCAGTATGCAGTAAGATTTAAAAATAGTTGTTAGTTCAGAATCCTGATTCACGTACTCGTTTAAAGTGCTCTGCTTCCTGAACTTTATTAATCGGTCGCATCAGAGCATCCCGCACAAGCACTGCGATATCGGATCCAGAGTATCTATAATGGGAGATCAAGGAGAAATATAAGCTCAATATATCAAGAGTTAACGTTATCTATTAGAACCTAGGACGCAAGATGGAACTATATCTGGGAAACCGTGCCTATTACGCTTCAGTCTCAATATTCTTTGACATACGCTACTCACCCTTCGCAATTCTTAGCGAGGTGTACATAATCTTCCATTATTAAATCAGTTCGGGTGTCCCCCATATTCAATTGAAACATGCGAAGTCTTGCCGTCTCTTCAGGAAGCGGTATGTAAATGCGTTTCTCGAACCGTCTTCTTATAGCAGAATCCAATTGCCATGGAATATTCGTCGCTCCCAACACGAGAAGACCAGCAGAATCACTTGTAGCGCCATTCATCTGAACTAAAAACTCGGTCTTGATTCTTCGACTTGCTTCACTCTCCCCATCGCCACGCTGTCCACATAAAGCATCAATCTCGTCAATAAATATAATCGCTGGTTTAGATTCGCGTGCCATGGCGAACAAATTCTTCACCAATCTTAATTTTAAACGGATATTAGTCTCATTAATATGCGTATTGCGCAAATATATTCCGGCAACTATTAGAGGGTTATCTACCGCTCACTTTCGCCCATCCATTTAGACACCAAATCAGACGATGATACCGAAAAGAAGGTCGCATTAGCTTCAGTAGCAACAGCTTTTGCAAGATGCGTCTTGCCAGTACCAGGAGGCCCGTACAGCAGGATCCCTGACCATGGTTTCCTTTTGCCTTATGTTGAGAATATATAACAAAGCTCAGTTTCGAGTCAAAACACGAGTAATACTTAAAACTCACATTTCAAGTAATAATGGCAACGACAGCAAAAATCGTTGTTGGTATTGTCAATTATCGTTATAAAACACCATTATCCTTAAGCTATAATACGCACCAGTAAATAAATTAGGAAATTTAATAGGTAAAATCACTGCCTGCTGCAAAGCTTCTTTAGCCTTTGCCAATCCAGCCACATCGTCCCAACTTACATTTGGCTTTTCACTGAGAATTGCACCTTTAAAAAGTTGAAACATGAAATAATTGAGAGAAAACACGCAAACACACAAACATACACACACACACATGCACGCAATTATGGTTTTTGCATCGATCACGCTCATTACCTGCCAATGCCCCTCGTAACTTCTTTACTTCGGGATCCTCCTCGTCGTCATCACTGGATCCGGTCTTCTTGTTCCTTAAACCGTTAAAAATTTAATTAAAACGAATTTTCTAATAAACCATTCATAATCAACACATTAGACTAACTTGGTCTTGCTTCCTTTCTCGGGACCATTAGCGCTAATCGCTTTAGCTTGTCGATTGTCCTCGGCCTCACTCAAATATTCTTTTAATTGTTCAGCTCTTTTAAGATATTCGGCCAATTTCTTACGTATTGCGTCTTTCTTCATATCATTTTTCTCATCTACCAAAAAGTGAAAAAGAGTTAGCCGATTTACACTAATCAGTCTCAAGCATTATAAACTTGAGAAATACCACAAACTTTTGAATCTTGTCTAGTAAAACATGAGTAACCACTTGAGACTATGGGTAGTTGTCATTATTTACACAGCATACATACATTCCCACTCATGCATACGCAATCGCATTTGTTACCTACATTTCACTGCTGTCATGAAATATTCTAACGCACGTGTATAAAGTTTGTATGCTTCCTCAAAATTGCGTTTTGCATCTTCTTCTGTTGCTTTCTTAACTATTTCTATTGCGTTCTAGACAATTTTTTAGTCAGACACGAGTCGTCGAGAGTAATAGGTAGACCGTTAGCATTACACAAAGACACAATATGACACTAATGTTATAATATTCGTTCAAACATAGGCTTACCCCGAGAAAGTTGCAATTTGCCATCGCTGTTAGACTTTGAAGATGGATGACGAATTTGTATATATTTTTGCTTTTTTGCGTTAGGGGCAAAAGGTCACCAGATAGATAGTTAAAAAAAGCTGAACTGTACAATCAATACACATTTAATGCTCGCAGAAATTGGCAAGTGGCGTATAAAGACAAGCGGTATCCAAATATGGTGAATAGACGCGCCGATCTGAGATCTGTTTGATGAAACGGATGGATTCATCAATAGTAGGCAACTACTATTTCCTGCATGATCATCAAGGCTCCATCAAGTAATGCCCGGAGACAGATTCCCCGAGCGCCATTTTTCGATCCATTACAGTTCCGCAATTTTGGCATTTGTACATCTCGGACCCTCCTATTTTTGAATGTTCCCAACACCAGCTGCAAGTTTTCGAAGTGTAGGCCTCATTTTGGATAATAACGCGGACCCCTAGTTCTTCTGCCTTAGCTGGCGAAATTGATAGTGGCCCCAACAGAGCATTTTACGAACCGGCTTTGCGTGATATCTTTCGTGATTTTCGGTTTACCATATTTGATACCTCAAAAGGAGGAATGATGATGGCTTTTTTTGTGAACTTCGCTTTGAAAGATTGCCGTATCGAGTCGCAAGGCCTGCTTCTTTTTCTTACGATTTGAACTAGAGGTTCATTTCGCCGACAATTAATTACCTAAAAAGAATAATTTCGAAATGATGTTGGTAAACATTTGTCGGCGAAATGATTGTCGGTGAAATGATTGCCTCCCGTTCGGTGGTAGCCTTGTCTCCCTTATTAGGTGTGTAGTGTAGTATTTCAGTAGACTTACCAAAATTAATAAAATGGTTCCTGTTTAAGCCAGTAACCCTTATCGGGAAACAATAAATTTATGGATCTATAATAATAAGCTTTTGTTTTGGTCTATATAAGGAAACGAGAATAACTTGTCGCAGCAGTGATTAAAAGGCATCTTCTATTTATTATTTTCGAACATCAGACAATGAGACTTGAAAAATTTGGGAAGTCTTTATTTCAGCTTCTATTACTCGTCAGATT